TATTTTTATATTTTTTAAGTATTGAATCACATTTAAGAAATTTACTTTTCTTCTTTGTATAGTTTTGAAACAACATAAAAAGAAAAACACCAAAAATGAATCCGCATATGGCGTCTGTAGGAATACAATGAAATTTGTTATTTTACTTTAAACAACAACTCGGTCTCATCAGCAAAGATTCAGAAAGTTTGGGTAAAATACAAATATTTTATTTAGAGAAGAATAAAATTTCTATTTTAATTACATTAAAACAACCATGTACCAACAACAATATGTCATCTTATGCAGCAACACATTAAACAGCCTTCTCACATATATTTATATATATATATATATCTCTGAAAGACTTCATACAAAATATAATGTTGAGTAAAAAAATAAAAGTCCTTCAATATGGTGTGTTTTTATTGCAGTTTAATCAATATACCGATTTTTTAAAAAGAGAAATATCAGAAGAAGTAAAAAACACAAAAGGCTCTTTGATAACAGGAAAAAAATAATAGCTTGATTCATCGTCTTGCACTCTGTCTTCCAAAGGGTCAGAGGTCGTTTTATTCAGGCTTCATTCCAGTACAGCGTTTGCTCTGGAAAAATACAATGGTGTAAGAAAAAAAATTAACCCACAAATCAGAGATGTCTGGATTACTGATGACAGTATTATGCCCCCTGTGCTAAACTCAGCAGAAAATAATGAACTTAACATGCTCCAAGGCCATTTTCATAAGTAATAACAAAAAAACAAGAAGTTTTCTTCTTTAGAAGCAAAAGGCATTCAAAATTCTATAAACCAGGTGCATTTAAATTCATCCCCCTTAATCCCTTCATGCTTTGGCATCTTAACAGCATTACTCATACGCAGTTTGCGGTTTTACACCCAACTGAAGGGAAACGAGGCCTGTCAAAGTCTAAACCAGAACAAATAATAGGAATCAACATTGGATGTTTTGAAACCTATCAAATATTTACTGATGGCACAGCAAATGTTCACTTTTCACCATAACTGTTAAAAATTATTGTATTTTTCTGCTTGCTGACTTTGACATGAAAAAGTTTTTTAATTATCTAAAGCAGTTTTGTGCAAAGCCCATTTTTACTTTTGATAATAAAATCTTTTTACCAAAACTGAGGAACACAAGATTATTAAGATATTTTTTTCATGTTTGTAAAATAGAAATCCAAATTTTGCCAGTTGCATTTAAGATACAAAAGTTAGTTGATTTAAAGAGAGAAGCATTACCTTGTAATTCAGTTTTTTGCATATTTTTTTCAGGTGATCCACGTGTTTCATCACTACTTGTACCCACTTTTCCTCCTTGGTTGGGACGCAGAGCTGTTTCCCAAGTCTGGTCACCAGACTGCAACAACAACAAAACCTTTATGGTCCTTCTGGGTTCAACCCTCTGATAAGTTTGTTAGAATAAAGAAAAAAACTCACATTGTGGCATCGATAGTGCAGCCTTTGGCCTGTTCCCGGTAGTCTACAAACAGTCTTTTATCAAGTTCTCGGTTTTTCACTGACAGGCAGCAGTCGACTGCAACCTCCGCCATAGTTACTGAAAGATAAAACAAAAACGGATAAGAACACAGTTTTATAACTCATTGGTTTTGAAAGTAAAACTTAAATACTGAGCTTACCTACCAGGACTTAATGATACGTCTAATTGGATATACTGAGCTACAGGTATATTTAATTATCCTGAGGATATAATACGTTTTGGTGAGCAGTTACACCTAAAGTTATTGTTCTGTTATTAACATTTTCCATTTCTCAGATATTAAATCAATTAATGGATAATAAATAGATCCTCTGACTCTCTTCCCTTCTCTTTATCTTGCTCTTAATGAAATGTTTGTAGATATCTGTTCTAAAAGCTGCTGTGTTTCAAAAAATATCTACAATTTTGGACAAATAATACAATGATTTACACATATTTAGATCCAAATATCTATAATAAAACTAAATCCAAAAGAGGAAATGCAATCCAGTCATTAACTGTTTACCTATTTAGGTATCTAGGAGGAAAATAACTTCTTATTACCTGGAATAAAACTTCATTAGAAATACACTGAAATAAAAACTATTGGGGTGAGGTTTAGTAAACATACTAATTTTGTTAGACTCTAGGGCTAAATAGAGCAGAGTATCATCAGCGTAATCATAGAAATGCCTTCTATATATAAAATAAAGTTTAGTGGTCCAAGCACTAAAACCTGTGGTACTCCCTAACTAGCAATAGAAAGTGCAATAGATTTTAGTTGACTTTTAAAAAGATGTTTAACTATTTTTATATAATAATAATAATCATAAAACAGAAAAATAGACAAATTGCTATTTGAAGCAGAGCTTTTACCTTTAGAGACTTACGATTCTGTCATTTTAAATTTTGGAGTATTTTCCTTTAGTATATTTTGAAATCCTGTTTTTATTTTATTTTTTTAAAACAACAACTAAAATAACACATTTTAATAAAACTTTCTGCTATACGGCTCATGGCCCAAAGCGCGTTCCCATCATAGTGTAACATGCAAATCTGCAGCTCAGTGCAGCACAGACAAACTCAACTGAGCAGCTCAGTGAATTTACTTTTACAATCTCCTTGTACAAATATAGAAAGTAGCCCATGTGGATGGGATACTGGGAATTTATAATCCAGTCTGTCATTAATTTGACCTGACAGGAAGCCAGTTAATGAAAAACCCACCCAAAGAAAGCCCTGGGCAGTTAGAACTACTGCAAAACACTGTGCTATTTGTTTTTTTCTCTTTGACTGGCCTTTGAGATCACAAGCAGTGAATTTATGCAAGGTGTGGGTATCTGGTACTTTCCATTTCTTCACATAGTTTAGTGTGGGTGTGTTAAAGCTGTGAATCAGCCTGATAAATTCTGTGCAGCAAGACGTAGCTGAAAGGTGTCAAACAGCAAAACAAGCTGAAGGTGTTGTTTTCTGTTATAACATTTAATGTTTGGTTTTTAGCTCCTTACCAGAGAATTTTAGTATCTTCAATTTAAAAAAAATATTACTAGTCTTTAATATCTGAATTTTTTAATAATCCTAATAATCACTCATAAATAATTTGTTTAGAAATATTGAATTTGAAAAATGACAGGAAGTTGAAGCTGTGAAGGCAACGGGAAGTGTCTGTGATGCTCTTTTAGTTAAGAGAATCTTTACTCTCATCAATAACCAAATGCATTTTTATGCGACACACAGTTGGTCCCAAGTTGTTTCTGTCAAAAAAGAAACTGTGAGCTTATCTGCTCTTGTCTCTTGACCTGCATGACCTGTTTAGTTTTAGCTCAGGGAAAATCCAGCACCACTCCTAGAGAGATGCAAATCTCCCTCTTTCAGTCAGCTTTATTGTTCTGATATATGTATATATATATATATATATATATATATATATATATATATATATCTCGTTTCAAGCT